AAATCTCCATTCCCACCCCACTCTGGGGCCAGCCAGAGGTAGTATTTGCTGGTTCTCTGAACTACTCAAAATTTCTGCTACTGGTTCTCCGAACTGCTCAAAATTTCCGCTACCAGTTCTCCAGAACCTGTCAGAACCTGCTGGATTTCACCCCTGCCTTAGGCCCAGAACAAAGTTATTGGCTGTATCTATAGAAAACCTCCTGGAAGACAAGATTCAAACAGTCCAATTAAGAGTATGCATTTCATTTTAATCCATCCAAAATAATAGGTGGTGGGATCCCAATGAATTCAGTGGTATCAGTTTGTTTTCCACAGTCATTTTGGATATTTGCCTGTGCTATCAATTTAAGATGAAACAGATCAGGAATTTTAGTGCACATGTTGTAATCTAAGCCTTGCTTGAGTTCACTAACAGTTTGAGCAATCAGAGGGCTAAGGACACCTTGGAAGCAATATTGCAATTGCTTGATTGCCTTGGTTAGTCATCTCAGGAGGGTCATCTTTGCCCTGATCTTTTAACACAGCTGCATACCTATTTCTAATCATTCATTTAAATTGCATTATTCTACTTCTAAAACTGAAACTTTTTTGGCATGGTCTGTTTGGTTCAACTTCATGCATCTACACTTCAGAACAATTTGTATCGTAACAATTGAAAAATTATGATTTCAACATTCTCATGGTTGATATCAGAAACCTCCTGGGGGAGAAGATGCAATTGTTTTGTGAAGTAGTGAACTAAGGATACTAAAAATAATTTAACACAGTAATAGCAATATTTTTTTTAAAGTAAGGTTAATTTAAACTTTTGGAACTGATATACTTGAATTTAATCTTGCACAGAAGATACAATTACAATTTGCCACTCATACCTCATTAAATCCTTGAGGTTTATGCAGTGGTGGGATTCAAATAATTTAACAACCGGTTCTCTGCCCTAATGATTTCTTCCAACAACCAGTTCACCAAACTGCTCAGAAAGTTAACAACCGGTTCTCCAGAAGTGGTGCGAACTGGCTGAATCCCACCACTGGGTTTATGAGATCTACATGAAACTTGATGCCCAACATATAATTTAACAAAAGTTTTACACAGTAATGTCTTCCATAATCTAATCTATATCATTTACAAAATCTCTAAAAGAGAATGTATACATTTAAAAAGATACAAGATGTCCATATTCTGTATATCAGAGTCCACGTAAGTATTATCATATCAGAATAGCCAAAGCAATGCTCTTTCAGGATTAATATATGGTTATGAAAGTTTGATACCGAGAAAGAAAAAACGTACACAGATGCCTCTGCAACTTACACCTAATAAATTAGAAGAATGATTTGGAAAGCTGTCCTATCTTGGATTTACAAAAGAGACAAGTTAAACTACTGAAGCTGTTCCTGAAAACAGACAAAAATAAAATGATAAGAGATCAACTTGTGGACATTATTCAATGGCATTAAAAATATGTTATTAAAATGCAAACAGAAGAACTATAAAGTAAAATTTAACTGGGTAAAATACACATGTTATGGTTTCTGGTAGCTCTTAATGGGATTTCTTGTTGACCTATTAAAGAACTATTTATGAGAGATTTTTTTTTGCTTTATTTCTTAAAAAAATAGTAAATTGTATAAAAGATTGGATTTATTTGATTAAAGTTAAAATATATATGTTAGTATTTCGGGTAGCTCTTAATAGACTTTTGTTAATTAGTACTGAATGATGGAGTTTCTATAATTTGACTATTGATATGGAATCATATAGGAAGAGATTTTTAAATTGAAATATTAGAGAAGGTATTAATTACTGAAATGGTTTATACTTGTGTGGAGAGAGAGGAAATCATCTTTTATATATCTTTTTTCTTTTTTCTACATTGTTGCATTTTCCTGTTTGGTTTTTATGTTTCTTATTTGTATTAATCCTTTATCTGTCTACTTATAAACTTTAATAAATTATATTAAAAAAGCAATGCCTCTGAGTTATGGATCTGGGGAAGGATACAAAAAATATTGTGGCCTGCAAAAAGAACCACTCAATTAAGCCCAGACCAAACAAAGATGAATTACTCTCCTAAAATGATGATCACCAAGCAGAAACTCATACATTTTGAATATATGATGCAAGCAGATAATAGACTAGAAAAGACCACTATGTCTGGCAAGGTTGAGGAAGGAGAAGATAACAGATAAGGTGGATGGGCGGCATTAAAGAGATTATAAAACCTCCTTTAGTGTGGCAATGGAATATCACAGAACAAATTTAGGTTGTAAAAATTGGACATGCAGTATTAGGAATAAAACTCAGTGTTTTGAGTTGACGGAATGCAAAATATGCATGAAAACAATACTTCTTCTGGTGTTTATTTATGAAACAATGAAAAAATGATTGTCCCCTTGTCTAAAAATCTGCAAAATGACAGATATTCAGCACCACATATCACATATATCATACTATTAAATTAATAGATATATTTTTAAAATTAGCCTTCTGGCTTCATCCTGTACTGAAAGGCTGTACATATTTTTCATTTTTTATGCTACACATGTAAGCTCACAATTCTTCTATTTTTTTCTGAAATTACTATTACTACTAGACTCATACTCAATCTACCAATATATCAACACTTATTCATTGCTGATATACCTACAAAGGGATGAGTCAACTAAATTTTGATTGCAGAGAGATGAAACATGGTGTGAAGAAACAATCTGTATTAGGCAATCTTGGATATCCATAACCATTTCAAAATGAGTAATAGAAGCCTTGTTTCATGAAATGTCTATCCTGAGTCTAACAGCTGGTGTTGGAAAAATATTTTAGTCATATGTGTTAACAATTCAATAGGTTTGTTTCTTTAAAAAAAATATAAAATACTTTTCATCTGAGCAGCCTACAGGCTTATTAGATATATAAAGGAAGGCAAGTTTTCCCAAATAATTGTTTGTGATGTCACATTCCCTGAGAATGTAAAAGGAAAAGCTTTTAGAAGTACACAGTAATTGTAAGGGAGGCAGGATATGCTAGTCGTGAAATAGAAGATGTTTGACAGGGAGAACCTCTTCTTTCCATGAAGGCTCTCCTCATAAATGAAGACTCTGGAAAAGCAGGATCCTCTGTGGTTGAAGAGGAATGTGACAGAGGTGGAGCTAACCTGTTGACTGTACAAGGTTAAACAGTCCAAAGTTTATTAACTTGGAAACAAAAGTCACCAAATTCAATGATTCCTAGTACATGAAGGTTGCCTAGGTCTGTTGTGTTCTCAGTCCTGGACTGAGACCTCTATCAACTTGTTCGCAAAGAGAAGTAAAACCAATTCAATACGTTAAATATTTCTTCTCTACTTATCCCCATCCATAGTAAATAGGGCTAAACACATACATTTCTAGCATAATAGCAGCATATGCATAGTTGGGAGTAACTGGATTCAATACAATTTCTTTTACTCTGTGAGAAGTAGTTAGGAGTTTGTATGTAAGAGAATGACTTGTGTGGGTATGTGTGTATAAATGCAGATATATGTCAAAGCACATATTTGGGGTGGGTGGGTGAGGGAGTTTCCAGAATTGTTTTGAGGGAGAACTGGCAACTTAGTTGACAAATAGGGAAAACTGGGCTGTGAATACAAATTTAGCTGTGTTTACAGCAGTTTTCTACCTAATCCTTTTTTTGAGGGGAGTACAAGGTTGTCTTACATTTGGAGCTTTCCTCTTTTTTGTGTAACTGCAATTTGATGTGCTTTACATCCAGGTACCCAGTTTTAGAAATGTAATTCAATTATAATGTATATTTCAGATGCCTGCTTTTTTGACAGAAAAAAGCCAAAATCATAACCAAACTTCATTGTTTAAATGGTTTCAATCATTACTTAGTCAAAAGCAGTATTATTCCTAAACTAAGGGATTAAATCTAACTTGCTGATGGGGTCTAAGGAAAGAAAACATAAACGATTGTATACTCGCTCTTCTAAATAGTACTCCCAAACTGCTTGAAAAATCCAGTTCCATTGTACTAGCCTTCCATAAGCCAGGAAGCAATTATAGTTTTCAAACAACTCACGTTCCTCTCAAGGGTATCTGTTGTTTGCTTCATAGCAGTGGAAGCTCATGAGTATTAACTTTATTACTTAATAATTATCAACCAGAAGAAATTGCTAACAGGCATTTTAAATTATGCTTTTAATGAGGATTTGAATATACATTTGCCAATTTGGATAGCTTGTCTTTCACCACCTTCCAAACTTCTCGCATATGTGCCATGAAGGCTTTGAGCAAATCATTTCGAAGTTTTGCCTCTAAATGGGCATTCTCGCTGCCTACCTCAACTGACTGCTTGTAAGATGAACTAGAACAGGCAGAAACAGACAAGTATTTAGCACATAATCTGTACTATAATAGTGACTCGTAATGAGAGATAGATATGTGCCAGCACACAGGTCAAATCTCCAGCCTAGTTTCACCTTTGATCTCTTTTTGTACTGACTCACTCTGTGACAACAGGGCGGCTCACTTAATCTCTGCCTTCCTTCCTATAGTAGGGTGCTCATTTGCTTAGGGAAGGTTATAAACAAAGCGAATATTAATGGGGCCCTCATCGGTATCCCACTTAGATACTCGCACTCTCACACACACGCAGACTTGTACAGCACAAAATAAAGTAATGGTGGGGGGCGGGGGGAGTTATGGAATCAACGTGGGAAAATTCGGCTAATGTGAAATACAAGGAACGCGGCCGGTGGGGGGGGGGGCGAGAGGGCAACCAAATCTAAGAAAACAAGAGACACAAGTAAAGGCAGAGGCCAAGAGGAAGCCTTGAAAGACGAGGAATGCGTGCAAGTCAAAGGGAGACTGGGGAGGGGTGGGGAGAGGATAATAGAGCAGAAAGGCAGATGAGAAGGATCGAGATCAAGGGGATCAAGAGAAAGGGAGAAAATCCAGAAGCCTCCCCAGCCCAGCCCGATGCCAACCGCTTCCTGCCAAGCCGAGAAGAGCCACTCACCCTGTATGCAGAGCCTGAGATTCGCACCCTTCATCCACAGCTACCAACACAGCAGCCTGGAGGCCTCCCCTCTCCTCTGTTCTGCTTCTCCTCCGCTCCGCCCCTCCACGGCTCCTTCCTTCCTTCCGGGCCGTGTGGGCGAACCGGTCACCCGGCTCACGCTTGCGATCTGGCACGCGCGGCAGATCGAAATCTTCCCCCTCCCCTTCATGGTGGATTCCCGTAGGTCAGCCTCCGGGGCTTGCCCTTCACGGTTGAAATGGAAAGGACTGGACGTACCAGTTAGTCTCGCAACCCAACCTGTCAGCAGAGTTTCAGGAAGCCCATGTGGAAATTTAAGGCGGGCTCACTGCCATGGCCCTTCCAAGGCATTAGATAAGTAGATCTTAGGAAGGAAATAAGGAGAGTTCTGCAGGTAACCTACCGTAGTAAAACAGAGAAGATACTTCCAGACACCGCTGCCAATGAACATGTCTGCCTGCCTGCCTGCCTGCCTGCCTGCCTGCCTGCCTATCTATCTATCTATCTATCTATCTATCTATCTATCCTCTTATTCTGCCTTTACCATTCTGTAAGCAACAAAAATCAAATGGGGAAGAGGTAGATCACAATTGCTTAATAAATGTTCCATATGGAAGTGTCTAAGTATCTATATGGGGAAGAGTAAATAGCTTGCGGCAAAAATACCTATGTATTGTGGCACCTTAAAAGTGTATTATTATACCAGACATTGCACTTCCATCTCCTGTTTCTTTCCCCATAACAAGCACTCTTTGAAGTAGATTGCGCTATAAGATTTATAAAAGTCTTCTAATCCAAACTTCTACCCAAAGTAGGAATCTTCTGACCATTCCAGATAAATATCTCTCCAAGCTTTATTTGAAAACTTGCAATCATGGAGCCCAACTCAAGGCTATCCCATCTCTTAATAGCTCTCATAGCCAGGAAATTCTTCCTTATTTCAAGTTTGCATCTCCCTCTGTAAAGCTTTCACCCACTTTATCTTGCCATGCTCACAGAAGCATCTTATGTGGAATCTTATGTCCCAATTTCATTGTCTTCTGAATAAAAGTCTGACCTGTAGAACATGAGTTCTCAGCAAAACAACTAAGATAATTGAAATCAGCTCTGTCACCATTATAGATGTGTTTAGCAGGCATGCTATTCAACCAGTTTTGAGGAAATTGAGCTAATATATCCAATTTGCAAATATAAGATTACAGTACAGGTAGTCCTTGATTTACAACCACAATTGAGCCCAACATTTTTGTTGCTAAGTGAGATTTTTGTTTGCCACATCTTACAACCTTTCTTGCCTGCAGTGTGAATCAGTCAATTGTTAAATTAGTAACAGGATTGTTAAATTATTCTGGCTTCCCCATTGACTTGCTTGTCAGAAGATCATAAAAGCTGATCACATGATCCTATGACACTGAAACCATCATAAATGAGTCAGTTGCCAAGCAGCCAAATTTTGATCATGTGACCATGGGGATGCTGCAACAATCTTAAGTGTGAAAAACAGTTATAAGTCACTTTTTTCAGTGCCATTGTAACTTCAGTTACCAAACAAATTGTTGTAAATTGAGCACTACCTGTATACAGTATTCAAGTCCAATTTATGTAAAATTGGAAATCACAAAATGTAATTTATTTATGTAATTCTAAATCTTGCATTGGTTTTCTAACCATGGAACAACAATAAATGCATTTTAAGATGATATGATTTACTAATTGGACTTTTTAATTTCTCTTTCCTTAGTATCAGAACACCACAGAAAGCTAGTTTGTACCTTATAAAATGTATAATTTCAGATTATGCAAATTACAGAATTAAAAGATTGAAGATGGGCCTTCCAGATCATTTAATTCAACTCCTTATTACGATCAACATGACTAATTTCATAATACATTTGGTAGAGTTGTAATATTGTTATTCCAAATAAATTTCAGTTGGTCCTCACTCTGAATTTTTTCAGATGGGAATCCTATATATGTTTATATTCAGTGGGATCTTCTAAGTAAATATTTATATGAATTGCAGTCTTAGTTGTTGTTTTTTAAAAAGCACTTTAGCAGATTTTTAAAATATAATATTGACCAGTCCTCAAAGCCTATTAAATAATATATTTATAAGAGCAGATGTATCTTGCTCAACAACCTTTACAGTCACTTTAATTTTAGGATTAAAACTAAAATATATATTGCTCAGGTATGGATGCCTCTGGATCAACGTATTGAAAAATATAAAAACACTTAACAAATTATCCCCCAATAGCAAGAGAAAATTGATAATCATCCTCAATATTTGTGTATTTGCAAAGTAATTGCAAAACAACCAAACAAACAAACAAACAAATTAATAAGGTTTTGCAAAGCTGCAAAAGTAGCCTTCACTGGCACATCAGGAAACAGTTACTAGTGAAAACAAGTATTGTCTTACTACATAACAGGATGTATAGTAGTTACAATGTCTACAATTTATGGAGTATCAGCAGCCTTAAAATCTGATGAAGTCTGTCCGGGACCTGTAACTAGTTCTGAAATGCTTGCATTTATCTGAAAAACAGATTATTTCCCCCCAAATCATTTCGTTTTTAGATGGAAAACTCAGTTAAAAGATTAACTGAGGATACATTGAAAGATGTATAGATATATTTCACCCAATAGAGAAATATAGATCCACATTATTTAGCTATTAGCTAGTTATTGCTTATATAGAGTGCAGTACTGCAAGCTACTTCTGCTGACTGCTGGCTTCTTGCAATTTGGCAGTTCAAATCCCACCAGGTTCAAGGTTGACCCATTCTTCCATCCTTCTGAGGTGGTTAAAATGAGGACCCAGATTGTTGGTGGAAATATGCTGACTCTGTAAACCGCTTAGAGAAGGCTGTAAAGCATTGTAAAGTCTCAAAGTTTGTTTGATGTTTTAAACATTTGTTGCAGAAATACTCTCATTTATGAAAAGATAGTTACATCTACTTAACATCATCTTTCACTTGTAAGATTATAATTCTTTTTCTATTATTTCTTTTCATGAAAAATTTGTTGAAAAGGGAAATATACCTCTTCAGTAATTTTAATTAGTATGCTGAAATATTGACCTGTCATTAGCGCATTGCATTCAAACTTTGCTCCATTTGTCTTTTTTAGAATGGTGTGGTTTGCATGCCTGTGTGTGTGTGTGTGTGTGTGTGTGTGTGTGTGGAGGGGGGGGGGGAGAATGAATTAAGAGACCATGGATTAATACAATATATATTCCAATGTCTTGATTCTAATTAATTAATTAATTAGATTAATTAATTAATCTAATTAATTAATTAATTAGATTAACTAATTAATTTTTAAGCACCAGACTCATCAAGCCCTAGAGTTCTTGGATGTATTTCTTACTTTTGGGTTTGCCATAGTTGTTTATCTTATATAGCTACAGTATATATATGTACATATTCAAAAGTATCTATTAAATTTAGTAGAGCTTAGTGTCTTGTATGATTGAAATTGTACGATAAAATTCTGAGATTGAATTCTGCTGGCTGGGAGACTAAAGAATCACCCTATAACTGAGGACAGCTCTAGTGGAACTGAATTTTCATTGAAAATTAAAGTCTTTCCCATTGGAATTAAAAGAATAGAAAAGGTCAACAAAAAAACCCACAAAACATTGTGGCCACATTGTGTTGTCGCCACAACAAAGCATAGGTTATGATGTAACAGCATGCTTTTTTTTTTTTTTTTGGCCTTTGAGTCAGTATTTGATTAAGTAGTTCCTACAGGGTTTTTTTATTTTTTGGGAAGTGGTTTACATTGCCTCCTTCCTAGGGCAGAGTGACTAGCCTGAAGATACCCAGCTGGCGTTGTGTTTAGGGTGAGATTAGATCTCACTGCTTCCTCATTTTTAGCCTGATGCCTTTAGCCTGACTCATTATTCCACACCATACAGTAACAATAGAGATCATAACTAGGCTGATAGGAGAGTTATATACCTCTCACCTTGTATCATGCATATTCCAAAGGGATAGAATCCATTCAACACTCTCTGTGTGGATCAATAGGAGATTCATCAATAGTATTAAGTACCAACAGTGACTGGGATGCTGTCTGTCAGGTTGTTAAATCTGCCAAATGCAGATGGGCATCTCTATGCCTATTGCTACAAATTTTGTGTTTTTAGGGAGTGCTAGATAATATGAAATTCTTTCTTCCACCACAATTAGTCCAGCTTTTAGGAATGAAGATGTGAGGGCAGGTGAAAGGGCTACTTAATGAGCCCAAGAACAGTGATTCTCTCTCTGTTCATTCAGTTTATCTGACCTATAAAAGGAGATTGTAGAATGGGTGTTGTTGCCAGTATGCAAAGCAGGGAGGCAGAGAACTGGTAGAGAGAAGATGATGAGGCTAAGGCAGGGGTCTCAAACACACGTCGTCATGGCGGTGTCATGTGATGTGTCGGGACTTTTCCCTTTGCTAAACCAGGTGTGGGCGTGGCCAGCGCATGATGCATCCGGCCTGCGGGCCGGGAATTTGACAGTCCTGGGTTAAGGATTTGGCTTGGCAGTAAGTCTGGCCTGACAAGAAACATTGTCAGAATTATCACATTAGTTACTATAGATTTCTTCAGAAAGATTGGTTGACTATGATAGAATCAATAAGGAACATTTCTGTACTATTTGAAGTATAGACTTGATTTTCTACCTATTTCTTCAATTTCCATGATGATCTGCTTGCTAAGCAACTCTTGATGGCTTTTAGATAGTTTAAAAATAACAGTTTAAAAGTTAATAAGAGACAGTGCTGGGGGAGAATAATTCTGATAGCACACAACTAAAAGAGGCTCATGTAACATTATGGCCATTATGTTAACATTATGTAACAGGGGAGGTGGAGCAATGTCCTCTTCAAATTCAGATGATCCCAATCTGCAGCCTTTAATATAGCCATAAAAAGCTGGTCATAACAGGGTAAGTGTGGTAAAAGAGAAAGCATGTTTTGCCTTCTAGATCCATGAAATGGTATTGTAGTGGAGATCTTGTCTCTGTCAAGAATGGCTTCTTCTCCCAAAACCCAAATAGCAAATGGGGCTATATTGACACTTTTTTCCCCTGCTGAAATTAAAAATTTGGTTTCTTTCTTCTCAATGCTCTGTCAAAAACTAACAGCCATT